TTGCCATGCACTGTACATTCATAGTGAAATCACACAACATGGATACGGGCCAGTAATGAAATGCCATACAGCACGTGTTGTTCACAGAAACGTATGCTCATTTCTGAGAAGAGTGCTCCAGCTGTGTCAGCCTCCACTGTCTCAGGCAAATGCATGGTGATTGTTCAGAGGAACCTTACTTGTAGGTGCTCTACTGGGCTGTCACATAGTTCCTGTTCATCTATGTCTGAAGACTCCTGGGGCAGAAACACGCACATGCTACAATGCATGGTTCATGTATTCTCTATTTTGAAAGCAGGAATGGGTCATACTGTACCTGAATGAAACTCTCATGATTCATATTTTCTTAAAAGACCAGTGTGTAGGATTTAGTGGGATCCAGTGGTGAGACTGCATATTACAACCAACTAAAACACCTTGTGTCAACCAAGCGTGTAGGAGAAACTATGGTTGCAGCCCTATCTGCAGCCAGTGTTTGGATTTTCCGTTCTGGGCTACTGTAGAAACATGGTGGTTCAACATGGCGGACTCAGCAGAAGAGGACCCGCTCTGTAGATAAAAACGTCTCATTCTAAGGTAACAGAAACACAACTATTATTATCTTCTGGTGATTATACACTAATGAAAACATACCTATGAATTTTATTTTCCATTTCTGACAATAGATCCTCCTAAATGTCACACACTGGACCTTTAACCTATGTTATGGCCTTGATCTTTACTTAATATTCCAATTTAGTTTTTCCATAGTGTAATTTGACACATAGTACCTCATTTGTTTAGTCCATGCACACAATGTAAAAACAACAGTTTCTCCTCGGGTGCAGTTACCCCCTAAAGTCTCTGCTTTGGCCTGGCATTCTCATAGTGATGAGACTCCAGACAACCATTGTAACTGCCCATGGTGCGCAGTATATTTAGCCACTTAGTCACTTTCATAAAACCACAGAACATTAGTTTTTTACATTTCGACTTGTGCACGGATCAAACAAACACCAGCCTATTCCTTTAAAATTCCCAGTGTATACAGCATAAAGATCACACTTTATAGCTAAAAATATGGTAATGTTTTTTTTTTAAACATTTATATCTTCTCATTAGAATTAAGGTTAGAATAAATTAAATACGTGAATGAGAAAAGTTATTCTACAGGATAAACTGCGATTGTGTTCCTCCCCTACCTGCTCCATATCTCCCAGTGTGATGGGCTGTGTCTGGTAGCGAGTGTTGGCCCTGCGCTGGCGTGTGTCCCCTCTGGTGCGGGTAACCCTGGTGGGAGGCTGAGCCAGTCGGTTGAACAGCGCCATCTTTTCTGCTAGGCTAAGGGTGCAGAGGTCAGGCTCCTCCTGACCCTGGCCCTGATCTTGGTACTGACCCTGGCTCTGACTGCGGCTCCGACCGTGGCTCTGGCTCTGGTCTATTTCCTCGACTGTGGACACCGGCTTGGATCTCTGGACCTCGTGAGTATCCTGTATCTGCCGGGCCTCCCGGGTGGCGGCGTTCTGCTGCGAGGTTGCCTGTAGGCTGAGGGCAGGATGACAGCCAGGGGGAAAAGAGGTAGGAGAAAGGGAGACTTTAAGTAAGCATGGGAGGGGCTCATGCAAGCTAGGAGGTGGCATGCTACATGGCAGGCAGCAGTGAGTGAGTCATGCCCACCACAAACAAAGCTATAATATTCAGTAAAATCCCTGTAGTCTTCTTAAAGAATTCAATAATGTAGTTTCCTCCGAGCACACAGGAGGGCACCAAAACTCAAAAAAATAAACACTGTGCATTAGGACCTCACACTCATTCACATCCTGTAGGGTAAAACCCACTTGTGAGAATACAACTCTGAAAGAACGCTTTGTCGTGGTCAATGAGCAGCATTCAGTAAAGATCAGTCAGTTAGTCACACACTGTGGGTCGGTGCGAGCGTTCATATTCGTGCCATGTACCTGTATGGCGGGACAGTGCTGCGAACTAGGGTGGGGCTGGGTACGCGTGCTACAGCAGTGTGAACAGTCACCGTGTGTGGCACGTGAGTGGGGACGCTGCAGTAGCCAAGGACAGGGACAAAGTCGCGCACAGAGAGAGAGAGGTGACAGAGAAAACACACAGGTGACAGAAGGGAATGAACCAGATGATTTCCAGGTAATTAAGAAAATGGTGAGGCTAAGAGAAAGGAATATAAAGCAGAAAGAAGGCTGAATGTTTAAACCAAAATTTAATTTCAGATATTTATGGAAGTTCTGTGTCATGGCCAGAGCGGAAAATGTAATGGATAAGCTATCAGGTTGACAACATTAGAAACACTGCTATTTATCTATAAAGCTTGTGGATAGAAGTTCCAAATATTGAAAAAGTAGGTTCACCCTAATTACACAAAACATATGTCTCACTTATCCCTACTGAAGTCGAGAGGTAGATGGAAATTTATTGACTGGCTGCATTGGAAAATTACAGTGTCCCTTGCTGCTCTGGATAATTCAGAATCCATTGTTTACAGTTTTCAAAAAAAGGACTATTGCTGTGGTTTAGTTACGAAACTGTTCGGAGTGAGGTCAGTGGATAAACCAGAGCAATGGGAATATCGTCTCCTGAAAGAGACATTGCTGTTGAATTTTCAGTTAATTTGAATGCCGGGAGTCAGTCTGACCTGAATGTAACGGAACCTTATCCAACATTATTTGTAACACCAGTGTTTACTCTACTATTTCATGTTAAAATGGCTGCTGTGAAAAAGGTCAATTGGGGTGGAAGCAGGTATCTCAGGTCTCAGAAATTGTGGCTATATACCATGAGGCGTGAATGAGAAATATATTGTAATTTAGGTGAACTGACCCTTTAAAGCATTCTAGTTGTGCTTAATTTAAGGAATAGTTTGCCACATACTCGTTCACTTTCTTCTTGAGCGTTAGATTAGAAGAGTGATACCACTCCCATATGCTAAATATGAATCTAGTTACCCTAGAAGTTAGCTTAGTTTAGCATAAAGGACTGAAAGCTAGGAGGATAACAGCCAGCCTGGCTCTCTTCTCATGTTCAAAAATACATTTACAATAACCTCTAAAGTCACCACTCACCTGATGTAAATTTTTTTTTTTTTTTTTTAAAGCTGCAGTAGGTGCAGAAGTGCCAAAATGAGCCAGAGAAAACTAATTTTTATCAGATTATCTGTCTCATGTCCCACTGTTTGTGAAGAGTATAGGGAAAGTTTCAGCAAATATCACAAAAAAATATATTTTAATTAAAAAAAATTACCTACTCCAGATTTAATGTGTACACAAAATGGTCCATGGTTTAATGTAGAGTTGCATGCTGTAGTTATTTTCTGGCGACCAGCAGCTAAGGGCAGTGAGTACCATTCTTCAGTTTCATTTTATGCTGAGCTAAGCCTAACCCCTTTTTTTGGATCTACTTTCACACAGACCTGAAAGTGGTATTGATCTTCTCATCTAACTCAAAAATGTCAAACCTTTCCTTTAACGTCAGCTTTAAATGAAGTAACTTCCAGACTTACGTGGCAGCAATGACTACTTCCTCAGTGGTGACTGGCTGTGTTCTGGATCGGTCTTGTGTCCGTCTTAATCTCCTGTCCACCGCTGCATTCCTGGACCGTGCTTTAGGGGCTCCGCCATCAATGCTCTTCTCCAGTTCCTGGATAGAAATGTTGGGGTAACCATGAAGAAACGTTATAGCTCAAAGGTATGTTCCACTTCACCTGAACTCTAGTAGGTAGGTAAGTTCAATGGGTTGTTGTAAGGTTGGGTTACAAGTGACAAACTGATGAAACATTGGCTTTGACAGAATATTTGCAAAGAAAGTAGCAGTTGGTGCGATGACTGAATTGGCTGCTGGAATAGATTACCATATGGCTAGAAAAATTTGCATAACCGTGATTAAAGACAGATGATTGAGTTCATTACAATTGTATCAAAGCTGTTTGTAAATGAAAGTTTCTACTGACTTGAGCTTAAGCAACTAAGACTACACGGCATGTAGCGCGGAGTAAAGTGTACTCCATTAAAATGCTTGTTCCTGTGGAATGCTTGTGCTGAAACCAAATCATGAGTAGTTTTCATCTCTAAATCCTCACAGGAATCAGAGGACAAAGGACAGACGGAGTCAATGTTTGTGTCCTTGATTGGAAGCACATTTCTCCGTACTTGGTGTGTGCAACCAGCATGTGCTCAGTGGAAATGAGAGGGCAAACAGGATAGTTGAAGCTTACCCTGAAGAGAGAGCGCTTGGCTGCTACGCTCAGCTTGGCCCGTTCATCTAGCTTCTCTTCATCAGCTGCAGAAAAGAGAGAGAAGAGGGGGAAGAAGACATCAACTAAACTTTGCTCAAACTTACAATTCTTTATTTTAAATTCTAGCGAAGATATCAGATTCTAAAATACCAAATATGTTAGGCTGAAGGTTGGGGAAATGTGTCCAAGATTATGCAAAATATAGGAATATTTCTAACTGACGGAATGGTGCAACTAATAATACAGAATACATAGTCACACAGAGAGCGAATAAGATGATTTTTCAAACCTTAAAGCTACTTGAGGGAGGGTGAAAAGTGGACATTAAGGGGTTGAAGATGATCGCCACTAATTTTACACATAAAGATCAGTTTACTTGTCATGGAGAATAATACTCATAGCCTATGAAAACAGGTACATAATGTCTTCGAAGGCTCTGGAGAAGCTTTGACAAGTCTGAGAAAATAACCCTGATGATGTCATATTGATGTCATCTGCATTATGGGAAATGTAGCATCTAGCGGTTTTAGAGCTTGACCCGTGTTTGGAACTACAATAAATAAATGTGATGAAATTAATTTGCTACCATTTTGAAAATCAGGTTTCCCATAAAAGGTTATTTGTGGAGTAAATAATTTGAAGACAAATAATTTACATTTTACTAAGCCTCGCCCTCCTTCATTACTGTTGCTATGCCTGTCGTGCTTTCTGTTTTTACACAGTATATACAGTAGATGCAATTTACAGTGATAATGGTGATAGGTTTACCACTCAGAATTTTAGCTAGCGAATTACGTTGACGCCAGCTCCAAGACTTGGTTAGAAATGCTCTGTGCAATACAATGCAGAGCTATTTTTATATCTAAAATGTTATACTTCAAGCAAACAAGTATCTTCCCTTAACACATATTTCATTATTAACTTAAGTTTTAATTGTGTAGTCGTCTTTTGGCGCAATTTTACTAATATGAGACAACAAATTCACTGTTGAGATGCAAAACTCCTCTGAGGTTCAACTAAATGCCCATCTATTGCGATAAAAGAAGACTCTCTCTTTTCTAGGTAACACATTTGGAAGTGTAATGCATTTCAAATTCACTGATCACCATCATCATGTTTACCTTCATCATTACAAACCCACAGCACCATCTGGCTTTATAGCCGGGAGCAAAGACAAACCACAAAACCTGTGACTGGCGTCATTGGGGAGACTATGCAGAGCTCAGACAGGTGTGAGAGGCATGGCTGCACACACACTCGCATACTCTCTCTATAAGACATATGACATGACATCACCAAACAACTATTCCCTTTGACTGACGCCGCTGCACTGAGATCTGCTCCCTTTAATTCTGTCTGTACAGAAAGCGTGTGTGCTTATGAGAAGCAGATGAGCTGGTTCTGCCCTCAGCTGCTGTGCTGTTATGCTACTGTGAGCACAAGTAACGACTCCATAAACTCCACTTCAAAATGTTGTGTTTTCCTGTTAAAAAAAAATAAGACCTTAAAGAGGGAGATTTGAGTCATTCGGCCTCCACCCTTGTGTCTATTCCTGAAGCTTTGCTATAAAGCCACTGGAAAGTCACATTTTGTTCATTTGTGGTTGGCTGCAACTGTGAAGCTCCAGATAATCATGTCAATCATGTTGTTTTCATTGGCAGCTGTATAAACAAAATGGCAGATAACATTGCCTGTCCTACAATGAAGACCTGCAAGTATCATAAACCTAACTGGGTGCTTTTTACATCACCATGATCTCATCAGCTCAGCCCATCCAAAAACTGATGAGAATTCATTTACTCAGAGAAGTAAGTTTTTGGTGGACATTTGGTGAAACCCTTTTAAGAACCAAAATATAATGTGTGCTTTTGGTAGCAGTAAGTCAAAATGACACAATGACACTAAAAACAGAGTCCCTGTATGATTCATCACCTGCAAACAAAACTGCATCGCTTTCACTGCTGCTGTAAATGTGCTGTCAAACGTTACGCAACTGGAAGTTCCAGCCGAGTAACAATGCTGATAATTCCACTAAAGCTAGCCATGCTTAATCAATTACTTCAAACACTTGCGTAGAGAGGCTATAGTAGTTCATGAGCCTCACATTTACTTTATGTACATGTGAGAAAATATGTACAAAGCACCTTGAATGTCTATGTTCATCAGCAATTACACTTGCATTTTAACCATCAATTCTCCCCTAAAACCTTCAAATCTTTATGGGGGAAAAAATGACTTACCTTCAGTGGAAGCAAGATCTGAACTGACGCAGGACCTTCCATAGTGCAAAAAGAAAAAGAAAATTAGCAAAAGCTTGTAGTATCCATGCAACAATAACTCATAACTCCGTAATATCAGAGGGTGGTGAGTTGTTAGATACAGGAAGGAGAAGGCTAGTCACTGTGGAGGTGAGGAGATGCAGTGAGAAGAAGCAGGACTTTGTTTCTGGTATGCTGGTAATGTGACGGCGAGTGTTAGGAGAATAAATGAAAAGGGGAAACAAGTAAAGCAGACTAAGCTAGAGAATTAGACAGCATTAGAGAAGTCTGTCCAGTTCCATGGTTTCAGGGAGTGATTACTAACAATGGCCAATTCATGCTTACTTGGTATGGTCACATGTGATGACCGCTGCCAAGACCCAATCAGTGGGACCTTTGGTCTTTAAGCTTCCCTGTTTGCTAATGTTGTTAGAGAGCGGGGCAAAATCAAGAAGAAAGTGAGTGTGTACATGTCTGTGTGTGTCACACCCATTGGCCTGTGGTAAAATATGATCCAGCTCATGGCATTAGTCTGATTATGGACTTACTACATACTAAAGAATTATCATAGCAAACTTAATGATTATGCAGTATAGTGCAACAAAAACCTCATTGGAATCAACATTTATGTGCATCAGATATTACAAAAATCAACATTATGCTATGATTTCTTTGACATGCATGATCATATGGACATTTCCCAGCAGTCTTCACTCTCAGCCATGCATTCTTGAGTCCAGAGCAGTACCTATCAGTCTCCTGGCGCTCAGCAGAAGTGATGGGCTGTGTCCTAAACCTCTCAGAGGTCTTTCTACTCTCCCCGGGACAGATATATTGCCGGGGCCTGCGCCCCCTGCCCCTCTCCCCTCTCCATGGGGCCTCGTAGCCTGCGAGTGCCCTGTCCCCCTCAACCTCACTGGAGGGGTCAACCAAGGAGAGAGACAAACAGATACCCAAAGGAAAGAGAAAATACAGCATGGTGAGGAAGAGATAGAGAGGGACTGGTTGCAAAAATGCAAATGCTTTAAAGCAGAGGTGTAGGTTTGCACACTCACACACAACCCATGTTTTGAAAAACAAGTATGAGGAAGACCATGCAAAATTATTTGCAGTAAAAGCATGCTCGCGTTCACTGGCAAGTCACAGTGCCAATAAAGAACAAAAAACAAACATCCCAGGAAGCTTAGTGTTGGCCAAATAACGCATGAATGCCATTTCTACAGATTAGAAACTAACTTTGGTGTTAACGTCACTGCAGCCTTAAGTTGCTTGTTAGTCATTCAGTAGCCAGCCGATGTTAGGTAACAAGCACCAGTGTGAGTTCTAGAGAAGCCAGCCAGTGAGCAGCATTTTACTTTGCCACCTACAGCTCATTCCTGCGGCTGGTTGGAGGGGTGGTGGTGCTCTCCATGTAGGAATGTCTGAGCTGGGCCACAGACACCCGGGTGTCTTGGTGATTTTCTCGGGTACTGAAACCTTCATCCTCCCTGGCCTCTCGGGGGTCGTAGGCCTGGTACTGCAGGTTCCTCTGATTGGGCCCTCGTGGATCCCCAGCATCTGACACTGAGCGGCTCAGGGCAGTACTGGAGGTGGAGTTTCCCAGGCCTGCATGCACCGCTCTGGGCTGGATGTGGGTAGCAGCCACCCCTTTGTGGATATAGATGGCATTTTCACGCTCTCTGGGCCTGCTCTCTGATGCCTGCAGACGAGAGGTGTGCTCTGTTTCGTCCCACCTGGTTCTACCTCTGTGTCCTCCTCTTGCAGGGTCCTCTACCTCAGCATCCCTTGCCTGGCTGAGACTCAGTGCCCTGGACATCCCTAACTCCTCTTCCCCCCTTCCTCTCCGTGGGTCCTCAGTGCTCCGCTCCCGGCGGCGGATCTCAGAGGGAAGCACTGCTTTCCTACTCCTCAGAAGGCCCTCTGTCTTCACGTTCCCCAGCTCTTCAGTTTCTTCCTCCTGGGGCTGCTGTTGCTGCCCGGCTCTGGATGTGGGACCAGAGGCCATGGACAGGTAACTGGGGAAACTGCTAACTTCTTGTCGGGTGAGCTGAGCCTGGGGGTGATGTTGGGGATAGGAGTAAGCCTGCTGCGGACCTGCTGGGTCTGTGTGGTAGTGTGTAGAAGTTGGGGTCTGGTGTTGAAATTGTCTGCGGTACACCAGGTTTTCTGTAACATTTCCCAGCTCTGGGCTCCTTTGGCGGCCCTCCTCTCTGGCAAGCCTCTCCCTAACTCTGATTCTTCAGGGAAACAAAGGACTGGTTAAGATATAGCATGAATAGACAACGCATATGTCTCTTACATTCATAAAGATCTCTATTATACTTATAAAAAGAGAAGACAAACACAGCACTCAAACTCTCAGCATGAGGGGAGCAGCTGATCTTTCTTTTGTTTGGTATTATGGCTGGGTACCAAACTGCAATACTTTTCCATAAATGACCGCATTGTATCCTTAGATTCAAGTACCAAAAATGGTCAAATATCAAAACATTTAGATATTTTCTAAATTATAATACTGATAAGTTTCATCTATTTGCCCCATCTTATTTATGGCAACCTTCCTGTGTTCTGGCTGCTTTTGTTAAGACATTAAATGCTGAACCACTGAGAAATCTGGCATGTTTTGGTAGACTGGAAGAAAAACATATGCCTGTTCTACAAAGAAATGTATTGAAATAAGAGCTACAACTAACTATTATGTTGATCATCTAATAAACATTAGACTTTTTGGTTCGATTTTTATTCCACTCCACTTGATTTACAGGCTTTAAGCAGCGTCACTATGTGCCATGGTCAGGCATGCCATATACTGATATTTTCTGAATAGGTTGGGTTATTTAAAAATGCTATATATTTGCATGTGAACATGGGAAATATCTGTATATGAACTCCTATTGTTCTTTCTTCTTCTTACTTCTATGGTAATCATGTTCTCAGTTTTGAACTATAAAAGAAAAGTCATGCCAAAATGGATATTAGAAATTTATGTTTGTACTGTACCCATGGACTCAACAAGTTCATATCAGTATCTGTACCAAAATGTGTTTGTATTAACAATGGTAGTGAAAATTTTTAAATTAAACCCAGCACTATTTGGGGCCCAATTCTTGATAGAATGCCAAAGAAAAAAAGAGGAGTGGAAGATATGTCCCCAAACCTATAGTGAGTGATATTTGGTAAGTGTTTTACACAAGAAAATAAGCAATACAGCAACATCACCACCAGATGTGTTATACTTAATATGTTTAATATAATATGTTCCTTTAAACATTTCTGTTCACATGGGGGTTAAACTGAACACAGCAACAGGGGCATGGCAAATTATGTTATGGTCTGAAGCAAAGGGAACAGGAGCTTGTGGCAATGAAGATGATCATGATGTGATGTCAGTTGACTCTCAAAGCAGAGCTTCTTAAACATTTGTGTCTTATAATCAGCCCAGGACCAAAACTGTAAATGAAGTTTAACCCTATGAGATGAGAAGACAGTATCGTAATGTAGGGAACAGTATTGGGTTCTGTTCTGCCGTACTATTTAAGAAGCACTGCTCATAAGATTTGTAGGGCTTTGGTAAGTCCAGCTGAATGGCAACATGGCAGGTGATATTGGGACACAACCAGCCTGGGTGTACCTCGAGGGCCAGTTGATGAGGGAATGGGTCTCGCCCTCAGCATCAGTCTGGAGGAACCAATCAGTGCTCAGGTTCGCCCTCGCACTGTACCAATGGAAACCCGATGGGAGACATGAATGAGTTGGTAGGTGGCTCAAAGTCTAGATTCAGTATTCAGACTTTTTTCTTGAAACACACAGACACACCACTACATTACACACACCACTGACTTCACATTTAGCTTGACCAGAGTGAGAATAGTCTTGGCCACGAGTAAAACCCTGCTAAGAATACAAGTTCAGCTGCCGGGTGAGACATTTGTGGTTTTTGAGAAACTAGTAGCCCGTAGGAAGTATGTATTGCTCTGGCCTATAGAAAAGTGTGAGGGTGTAAGTTAGCTTTTTCCATGGGCATGCCAAGAGGTGGGAGTTGTGTTGTGGAAGTGGGCTGGCCCGAGGGACGAATTTTAAGCGTATAGTATTTAGTCCAGTAAATATAGGTCAGGCATACATCAGAGAGAGAGAAGGAGAGTGTCGATCGACCCAATTTCGCTCCGCCACCCGTCCTCTGGTGTGAGAAGACACCAGATGCGGGCGGGAGAGGGAAATGTTGCTCTCCGGCTGATCTTGCCTCTGGGAGGGAGTATGCGGCAGGGTACGCATCTATTTGCGTTAGCGGCGCTCCCTACAGGTGTGAATGGGATAAGCCGCCGGCGCGGGAGAACGAGCCGCATGTCGGGTCAGACAGTCTGATAACTGCACGAGGTCTCTCACTCAACGTTAATAAAGAGGAAATGTCCCACAAAAGCAAGCGGTGTGACAGCGGACCAAACAACAGTAACGTAGCGGGAACTGGGTAACTGGTGTTCTGTTGACATACTGGGCTATATGGAGGGAAAAAAATACCACAGCTGTACCTACGTGGAGAAGGTCTGTTCCTCCTGGCGCGGCCTGTTTCCTAGCCGACCGGTCCTTGCTGTGGGCATTGTTGCTGTTGCGCCGCGCAGCGGCCGCAACAGCCGTCTGGCACGGCCGGAAAAACTGTCGCGGGTGTGTAAAACATGTGTGGTCTTGCGAGTGAGGGAGTCAGTTTTGAGGCCCCTGGCTGTGGAGTTGTCATTATGGTAATAATTGTGATTGGAGCGAACAAAAGTGTAAACTTCGTGCACTTGTGACAGCGATGGTTGTGTGGTCAGATCTCAAATCAGCTACACTGGTGATAACAGCATCCGATTATTGGATGTATAGAAAGTGTCTGCGTGGTTAGATTGGACACGCGGGCGAAGAGCAACTGGAAAACCCACCTTCATACACGGCTCTGGCAGTGGATTGCTCTGGTGCCGCACGTGGGCGTATGTGGGCTATCGTTTGGGCAATGCCAGCAGGGAATTCGAATGATCAGCTTTATGAAATATTTATTAGACGTGATGGTGTTGCTAGTCAAACACAGAGCCGACGGTTTGGGCACACCACGTTAAGACCACACAGGCAGGCGGCATGTTGAAACTGCTCCGTTGTTTTTCAGGTGTGCCAGTCTGCCAGTTCCTGATGCTGCACGAGATATTTTGGCAGCCGGGCACACAGACAGACAGACAGACATTTCTTGCTTTATAGATAGATTACTAGAACAACAGAATATGTCTTATCCATTATCCACCAAAGCAGTTTGAGGGCTGGTCTGGAGCCCTTGCTTAATCTCAAACCAATCTTTGCATTTTGACAACCAAAGAACTGGCTTTTGGCTTTTTTTTTTGCTGGTCTAGAATCAAGAACCACTCACGTCAGGAGTTGGGGGCACCTTGTAGCCAGCCAGGTATGTATATATTAGCTCTTTAGCATGCTACTAATATATCACGTCAATGATACAAACATAACATAGTCGTTATGAATGTAACATTGAGCTAGCTACTGTTTCCTGGTATCGTTACATTGATGTGAGAAAATAGTAGCTATGCTTGCTTGGGTAATGTTAGCTGACCAACAGCTAGACAGCCAGATAACCTTGGTAACAATTGCTAAAGTTGGAGACATATACAGATGTACCAGTGATGTAATGACATGGCTGTCTAGCTTAAATCAACTATGAACCGGCACTAGCAACAGCCCAGAACTAGCACTAAGTTCACGTTGACTTATATCAGATCAGATCTGGCAACAGACTGTATCCATGTTATGTGGAATAAAACAATCAAGAGAGCTCAAGAGGCTCACTAAGGTCAGACCTGTCTAACTCAGGTCTTATCTACTGAGGCAGATATTCAAAGGAAATCTCATTCCACCACAGTCAGAAGGCAGATGAGTCACGCTGCACCTCTGATGCTGCATAAAGACAAATAGCCTAATAACTTTCATTAAGCACAGGCCTGAGTTCAACAAAATGAAGGGGAATGCCCCTCAGTCATGAATACAGAAAGAGAGGATCCAAGTTGGATGGGTTCCAAATTTTACTCAGTCTAATTGGGTCAGGTACTGTAGAATCTTGTTTTATTGCCACAGATCTTGGGTCTGTGTGTCAATACCTCTAATACCAGAGTGCATCCGAATGGATCCGAGCCTGCCGAGTATCAGCTCTGATCACATGGACGTCATAATCACTGCAGGACAGGGTGTCCTTGTGGCCGAGTGGTTAAGATGTTCCTGTTTGATTTTAAGCCATGGAACTGTGCTGTGTTTCATATCTTTTTCCTGTCTAATCCAATACAGGTTAAAAAAAAGGCATCTTACATGTTGTCTTTTTTTGGTTTTAAATTATAAAATTAATGGCAACAATCAATCTCACTTCAACTTAACTGCTGTCTAACAAAAAATACTCAATGCTACATTTAAGTAAGAAAATGTCCTGGTGGAGGGCTCAGATCTTTCCTAATAATAACTGATTCTGTTGAACTATTTTGGATATTTTGATTTGATACTTAAAAAGAACAACATTTTTGTTATATAATGGGATGGAAGAGCTTTTAAAGATTTGAAAGATGTTTTTTATACTGTAAAGAATAAATGGCCACAAATAGAGGATGGCCAACATTGACGATTGACAGCATCTTCAAACGCTATTTTAAGGAACATTATGTTCAACTGCGCCTAGTAAAACAGACACATTCCAAGGTCAAGAATGAACTTTGAAACTCAGGGTCATTACATGGTTAAAAAAGGATGGCCTTTGTTCATAACATTTTACTACTAAGTCCTAAAATGTAGCTATCCGTGTCAGACTTGAAGGGCCCACAGATACCCTGAGAATAGGTAGACGGGATGCTCCCCTATTTGCTTCTTTCCCATCAGGCCTCGCTGGTCTTGATCAAACCCAGCTGTGGGTCACAGATCTGACCGTGGAGTCACACTGAGCCGCCCAGTAACACAACACCCTCCCTGCACCACAGACACACACAGGCCAAGTTTTGAAACCTGAGAGAGGGATTAAGGAACAGTGATGCAGACAGAAACATAGGATAGGGAATGACAGTGTAGATGGGTGTAGAATAATCTTCATCTTTTCGTTAGAAACACAGACTACAGGGCCAAAGCTTGGTCAAGATCTGGGCTGGGCCAGCTTGTTGTTACAGAAATAAGAAATAGAAATATATTGCGGTGCACATGCTGATGCTATCTGTACTATCAGTAGTGGAGCCAAAACATTCCTTACTACTTACTTATCTGCTTCAGATAAAACCACTAATAAAGATAGCATAACACACTCTAGAAAATAAACATTTGCTGTCTGTTAGGGTCTTTAAAACCAAAAAATTTTTACTTTTTGAAGCAATACTTTGGGCTATGAGTGCCTTATTTTACAGTGTTCTATTGGGAAAAAAAGCCCACTATAAGAACAGCCATATGTCATGCTCAAAATCACGTATTTAATGAATATCTAATTTAGTGAGCACTGGAGCTGCTAATCAGTATTGGCTGAACCAATTAGGATGATTGCAATTTATTTCTTAATTTGTGTATTTTTTTCAGTTATGATAACATTACACAAACCAAAGTAAAAGCTGAGAACTGGGAACAGGACAACATCGCTACAACAAATTAATGAATGGTGGTAATAAATTGGTCGGGTCCACATGTGCAGTCTATTCAGTCAAAAATTCTGGGTTGCATGTTGACTATGGACAGATAATGAACTTCACTTCAGGTGAATCGAGATTAGGTAAAAATGCAAGACCCATTTTAAAGTGTTCATCACATAATTTTTGTTTTGTATTATATGACAAAACATGGGCAAGTTAGCAATTTAACACAAAGACAACCATGAGCCTTGAAGGGCCAGCGGCATTGCCCACTCTGCCCACTTTGGCCACTCAATAATCCCACATTGGTGCAAGCACAGCTACTTAAGGTATGTTGAAGTTAAACCATAAATGCGGTCTGAAAACTGTGATTGATGGGACAGCATAACTTGAGTACTATGTTGTAATTACAGATAGGACGCAGGTTGTCATAAACTAGAACTATCCTTTGAGGCAGTATGTGGTGCCATGATCCCCATCAATGAGAGGAGGATCAATTCTCTTTAACAATGTGGGATCAGCTACATACTTGGTTCCAGCCTGGTTAATAGCTCTTCCTAACCAAATAGCAACAGCTTGGCCAGTTAGACTTTTTGGGGAATTTAAAGTCTAGTAATTTACTTTCATCAACAGATGCACCTGAAATCTCTGGAACAGAAACACAACACATATATTTTGTATTTATCTGCCCATGTATTTTGCGAGCCCTGCTGTAGATCTCAGTGGGACTTGGTCTGCACTCAAAGTTCCACAACAAGCTCAGGTTGCCTGACCTGCTATGAAACCACAATCCTGCCAACAGGACGACCTTGGACATGTATGGATAAGCGGGACAGAGATAGAGGGAGGAGAGGAAGTCTGATGGATAACACTGTCACAGCGAGTACATCTATTAAAGAGAATGATACAGCGAGGTTCTGGCTAACATGGAAACCATGCTTGAACCTTGTGTATAAGGATTTGAAGGGAAGTTGGGGTCTGGACCCTAGAAAGGGAATGGTCTGCTAATGAGATATCAAACACAGAGCAGAGGAGACAGGGTATTCAACCAGAAAGCCTTCATATCTACTCGGTTTCTTAAATATAGAAGGAAACTACTTTAGGGATAAATAGGGATAAAAAAAGATGAGGACAAAAAGGAACAGCGATCAAGACCACTCACCCCTGTCTGCTGAGGATGTTGTGGGCCTGCTGCTCGATGAATAGGTCCCCAGGAGATACCCCGTGTTTGGGTGAGGAGAGGGAAGGTTGCCTGCTCAGCTTGGGTGAACTGGGTGGCATCCCTGTGACTGAATAGTCCTTGGCGGGCACCCTGGCAGCTGAGGGCAATGATGTCACATCCATGTATGAGGAAGGCGGCTCTGGAGGAGCAGCTCGGCGTTGATTCTCCAGGTTCATCAGTCTCTCCCTCTCTGAGAACGAGTCCACCCTGGTTCGACCTGTCTCATAACCGGGGTCGGGGTGGCTGTGCTGTGGTGCTGTGCGTCCCACCCTCGGGCTAGTGGCAGAGGTACTGGTATAAGAACTCAAGGTGATGTCCCTCCCATCCTCCCCCATCAACTCCTCTCTGTTTCGCCTTTCTGAGCCTTCCGACTCCTTCTGGGTGCGAGTGTAGCGGGAGGGACAGTCCATGTCTGGCTCCTGATCTAAAGAGATGCCATAGCGCTCGGCCAACTGCCGGCGCCGCTCCGCCTTGTAGCGGGCGATGCGTTCGGCCTTGGACTCCAGCTCTGGGGCATTGGTAGTAGAACCTGAACTGTAGACAGGGTCTGTGTGGATTGAAGACTTGGGGTCAGGTCTGCATCGAGCCCTGGACTGGCGCTCTGGAGCAGTCAGCTGCATTTCTGGGCTTTCGAATCCTTCCACACCATACCGCTGGACTGTAACTAGAGGACAGAGAGAAGACAGTCAGTTATTTCTATAGAAGCACAAGAAAAGAATGCAAAAATTGTTTAGGTACTGTATTTGTCGCACCACCACAGGGCTCACAGGGGTCAGAGGCCCTGGTGTATCGTGGTGTGTCCTCCTCCAGAAGCCGGTTGGCCACTAAGCTAGGCAGCAGCGACGGATGCACCTCACCCTCTATGCCCTCCAACCGGCGAGCGATACGTTCCTTTCTACACATGGACAGAAAAGTAGTCAACCTCAGACGTGTTATTATCCTCCACAACATTATCATTATCAAAAATGCCTGCAGTCCTTACATGCATTATAACCTCACCTGTTCATTTCCCAGTCACTTGTGCTTGTGGTAATGCCTTCAAATCGTTTCCTCAATTCAGAGACTAAGGAAGAAAAAAAAACATAATAGTATAAAAGCTCAGTAAAAGGAAAACATATGTTTTGTTTGCAATGTTCTGAATCAAGAAACCCAAACAACTGTTTGCTAACATGTTGGCCAAAACAACTTTTTAATATGATAATGCAAGTGTTGTGTTTAGAGCCTGTTTTTGTGGTCCCCAAGTTGCCAGAAAAATCCATTACTGCAAGTTTATTAATGGCATAAAAGTCTTCTTGGGAGATTCCAACTTCTAGAATTGACCTGAGGCAATCAGCTAAATCATTTCAGTCAAGATGAGTCATCAGTATGTTGGTGGTGTTGTTGCATTCGCTATCTTTAACTGAGTGCACACACCCATTTGCAAAGAGTATGTTAACTAGACAACAGAAAAAAGTCTCCTTGTGGCCTGTTGTCAAGATATTTATTGAGTAATAAGCTATAGTTAATTCAGTGACGTTTGTAATTTCAGCCAGTACAAGCATTGGCCACCAGGAGCTAGAAATGAGTCAGTACATCCGTCTCTGCAAATAAAAAAAAGCCCAATGAGGCAGGGAGAGATAACACGTTTGATAAGGGGTCTGTTAGTGTCTGAGCTTAACAAATATTATGCAAGTATTATGCCGAAAGGTAACCAGATCCAAAACAGAACTAGATATTGAAGGCCAACCCTTATTATCTTCCTGTTAAGTTAAAAACAAAAATGTTTCACTATTGACTGCTGGACCTAGTAACATTTTATCATCATACTTATGTTTGAACATCTTAAAACTTTTTGTACATTACAAGATACATTAATGAGATATATTTGGACAACCTATCCCCTAGTAAAGCTGCACAAGTTATAGATACACCAGAAAATCATGCTTCTTGATGACCGGTTTCACTTTCCCATCTGATCCATAGAAATGGAACCACTTTAAAGTTTCAATTCACATTCACATACTTTCTTTCTTATTGCCCAAATCACAGCTTGTAAAGCGCTAACCAAAAAGTGACCTTCAACAGCTCATTGTATTTATTTCATTCACCATCCAATGGGACTTGACAGACCGACAGACCTCTATAGGATCATAACTCTTTATTGGACCTACATTTTGGACTAAATGGAGCCTGTCAAGGAAATAGAGAGTGCAGCAGCTTATGTACAATATTTGACGTCTGTGTTTGTAGAAAAACTGGTTTAAGACAAATCTTGACATGGATCCACCTGGCACACAGGCTCCTGTTGCACAACAGTGAATTCAAAAACCCTGGGAAAGCTGACATTGTGAGGCCCATTTACAAGCAGGCAGAAATAAAAAAGGCCTTACTCACCTTTGGGGAGATTGGCCAAGAGACTAACATCTATATCCTTGGTGCTTTTGGCTGGGTCGTCTTTTTCGTCAAAGGAGAATTCTTTCTGGAAGCTGAGGGGTGCAGGAAAAATACCAACTGTTATTGAAACAGGGCTGAGTTGTGGGAAACTGGATTTGTTTATAGAGCGACAGTGTAAGCAGTTGTAGGGGCTCACTGAATGAATCTGAATCTGATCAAACAGCCGTCCAAATCATTAAAAAACATTGCTGGAAGCAGCATCAGCTTGAATGATGTTCAAGTATCTAGTCAATCAGCCAATGGATTGTGTATGAAGCTACAAAAACAGACAGTTAATCATCTAACAATACTTTTGGATTTCAACCTGTAAATTTCATCGAGTCTTGAATTCCCAAATATTTATCTAGAAATTATGAGAAGGTTTTACCCTCATCACACCCTCTGCCTCACACACAGCAAATTTCTCTCTCAGAAACATATTGAAGTCATTTATGGATTTAATTCAAAACCACAGAGTTACAATACAGCCATAAAAGAATTGCCAGTAGATTATGGATGTGAGAAAACGTGAGGACACCGTCCAAGAATTGGGAAAACATGACTTTGCGGTTCTGCCGATTCCAGCAATCCGAGTTGTGAACACACTGATACATAGACATTATTTTCTATCATAACAGCATCTGCCTTCATGATCTTCTAATGTCTAATCCCTACATGCACAATGTTTTCAAGTCAAAGACACGCCCACACAGTTTTGCACCAACTTGCTGTCACCATGCCTGGCATCCTCACTGCCTTAAAGGAAACTTCCTATATGGAGGCTAATGTGTGGACGTGGTTGTGTATTTGACACCCGGCCAACAACATGATGCTGAGCAATCCTACTAATGCTGCAGCAGGCAAGTCTAACACTGCCAAACAGCAAAGTGAGCTTATCTTTTAGTTTCACTCTCACAGAGCTTGGACACTGGCCCTGTGAAGTACCCAAGCTTTATCACTGCTATCGGTTGGTTTCCGCAATCAAAGTACAACACTAAGGATGTGTTCAATGGATGGATTTAGATTTTGCTGTGTAACTGACATTACTGAGTCCATTTTCTGACCTTTTTAATACAAAAAAATAATATGATATAATTCAGGATTAGTAGTAAGTAATAGTAGTAGTAGTAGTAATGATCCTGTTTGCATCAAAATTTTCATTTCCACTAAAAGAACTATTCAAATCAGGATTTGTCATCATTCGTTGACGGCTGTACCAACCAAACGTGTTTTTACATATGTAAAACAAAATTTGTAGGCAGTCTCCGCAGCACAACAGTACGTTTATCAGTAAAGACTGTCACACTTTACCTTTATCAAAACATTGCAGCTTCCGCAGTTTGGAAATCGCACATGGCCATATAGTGATTCCATAATATCTGCCTTGACTTGACTTGAGGTTTGTTTGTAGCAGCCTGGCGCCTCCCACCGTGAGTCAAAACTCTCAATGCAGAGTGGTGATGTTCTCATTTGTTTATGGTATTTATATTAACATCTCAAAATTAAAGACCCTAGAATATTTGTGTGACTGTAATGGTTGTAAAGTCATTCAGATCTGCATACATTTATGTTTGCAGAAAAATAAGCTGGGCATTGCTGTTTACCACACTATTTTTCAGTACCACCACTAGGAGAGACCAGAGACTTGGTAATGATTTATTGAGGTCCCCACATGGAATCGTTCATATTTAAATGATCTCTTTACGAACCTATGTTTTTATTCACAAGGTCTTAAAGTAACCTAACACAGTAGAAATTTAAACCTGATCAAAGTCGACAACACAGGAAGTTTTTTAGCATATCTTACCTCAAAGCTCTCTTCTGTAGCAATCTGGGATTGCTTAGTTTAATGGGGGTCTCACTCCCAAGTCCTGTGGACAGAAGAAAAGAGTGTAACAGTCAGTCATGTCACAGTGCTCATTCATTTTAGCTTTTAATGAACAGACACACATAGCAGCGAGGTATCTTAAGGCGAACTAGCCAGTCTCCGAGCAGGTCCTTGGCACGGAACCACATTAATTAAGTGGACTTCCACAGAGAAAACAAACGATGTGGAAAACAATAATCTGCCTGCCTGACTGAATCACATCAAATAATAAGTGATCTGTGCAGTAAAAAGGCTTGCACCCATCCGACCCCCAAACCCCGCCACACAAATCATTACAGCACTTCCATCCAGAGACGGTGACTGTCTCCATCCTAAGTATCAGTCTATGTGCTGTGCATGAGGTCATAGCTTAAAGGGTTTGACAGAGGAGTGACTGCGTGTGTGTCACTGAGACAGACACTGTAAAGTCTAATCACACGTCAAGGTTGCCGTGCAGCTGGGACGTTGCCAGGAGGAGCCGAGCACATCGTTGTCGCTGGGCAGCACTTTCATACCCTCCATGAATACAGATAAGGGACAGCATGACCAGACAGACAACGAGACTGTCCAATTCCCCAAACCTTGCGAACACACTATTATGAAGCCACAGCATGTGATTAAGCTCAATTTAGACAAGAGTTAACAATCTACCCTAATAAAGTCTGGTGTCTATTAGGAAAATGGCCAGAGTCAGTAAATGAGGGCAAAACGTGACATAAACACCTGCCTACAGAGAAATACAGCCTCATTACCAAGAAAAGGGGCATTAGTGGGTATTAAGCATCATAAACAGTCTTGTGAGGAATGCGAGTTGCGCGGAGCATCCCTTTAAGGAATGTCTGTCTGCTTCAGTTATTGACTCCAAATCTCAAACGTGCGGTTTTGGCTGCCCTCGGACCTCAGAGTGGCCAGAGCCGTGCAATTTCGGGATAAACATGTGGTCCCACTTCCATCCTCTCCGAGTTCACCTCAGGGCCGCGTGACGCCCCCTCGACTCCCCCACTGCTCCACCCAAACCCCTAACCTCTCCCCAGAGGCCGCCCACCCCCTAACCACCCATTCCAGATCTGTTAGTCCTTATTAAGGATGTTTGGGTTGATGCTTTAAATCCCTCCTACTTAAGCAAAACATCATTTGAGAAGAAAGAAGGCTTATTTGGAGAGGGCGGCGTGTCTGAGTGTGTTTGGGGATAGTCGTGTATTGTTTCAGCTGGGTGGAATACGGCTGGTGAAAACACGGCTCATTCCTTGTGAGCCTTGAATCATAATCCTGGTTATCGGAGTAGATTGTGTTTTCCTTTGACGATGATCCAAAGATTAGGTTGACAGCTTTGTAGCAGATATTTCAAAGTATAAAACAATGGTTAGATAAATCCTGCGCCCACAGTCCAATCCTGCTTTTAACAGTTTTATTATGCAGCAATCTAATAACTAGCCATGTGTTCACAGCAGATGAGTTGAATCTCTGTGAAATGTAGCTGATTTTCCCACTAAAACCTACACATTAGGGATGATAACTGACTGCACCCATTAAAGAAAGTGTGAACCGGATACAATTTGGGATGAAATCTGGATGCATTATTTCTAACATCTTTGCATCAGTAAATTCTGATTAGTTTATAATTAATTTCCTCCATAGTTTCTCCTTCACATTTCACAGCCTGTTCTTATTCCCAGGTCCTCAAATACAGATGCGAGTGGTATTCAGTTAGTTGCAATCTAACTTGAAACTTGACTGCTAGATGCCACTAAATCCTACACACTGGTGCTTTAATGTATCAAACCTTTGGCATCAAGACACATATTGCATCAGCCTCAGTGTTGGAGATGCACATCCCTACTACACCTGTAGTATGTTTTTTTTATGTTATCCATTGATTTAGCATGTGTGCATTCTAGTGAAATAGTAGCAAATATAATGATAAATTGTTTTCCAAGAAAAAAAAAAAAAGTACACAAGGTGCAGTTTTTATTGAATGCCACTATATGATAAATGAAGGGTCCAGTTGTAGTTAATAGCGCTACAATCTCTATGCAGTTTGCTACAGCAGCAAACCACTACAACGTTTTTTCCATGGGATTACTTTCTTTGGAAAGCTGTAGGAGGCTCACACTCTTTGCCTCAATCAACACGTTGTTACCAGAGTCTGTGTTTCCCAGATCTCTGCAATGTAGGTGGCAAGCAAAATGTTATCATGACCAACAGTCATAAAGGTCAAAAATTTAAGAATAAATCCCAAGTTGACAAATACTAGAATTTCCCTTCAAGCAAGTGTGTGAAACAAAACCAGATGCAACAGTAAAGGTTAATTAGCTGCTAGTGTGAAAATAACAAAAGCAGCTGTCTGAGGCTATTGTCAGCTTTACCATATAGAGTTCTCCACAACCCAGACCTGTATTCCTTTTACACCTCATACAGCTTATACATAGTGGCATGTAGGCCATCATGGGTGACCCCCTCGAAAAGCCTCTACACATTCGTCATTCCAGACACAGGCATAAAAACCTCCACAATGATCACAGATGTGGCAGAGCCTTTGATGCTGGCTGTAATCTACAGAAACACTATGGCTGCTATAGCCGGGAGGGAATGCGCCAGGAATTCCTCAGCAACGTGCCCCGTGTGTGTTGATGAGGCTGTAAAAGCGGCTTGACACTGATAAAACATGGGGATAAAATGATTTCATGATTCAGTGGAGTCAGGCTCTGAAGTGAGGAAAAGCATTTTAAGTGAAGGTATCAAAGAAACTAAGTTGTAAATGGGAATGCTCTGCTCTGACAAATCCGACTTTAACATCAGGCTCAGGTCTAACCTCACAGTTATAACACATGACATTAAATGGGGAACCATTCAGAAGAAGAGTGGAGTGGTTGTGTCAATCAAACTGCAATCCTTACATGGTCTTAACACACAAAAACACTCAATGTGGTAACCACAGAGGCATCAGGGGCTGAGCACATGTCCAAATTGAGATACAGGATTAACTTCAATTCCTGGGATTACAGCGAGCCCAAAAGGAAACGTGTCACTCTTTAACTGTCTGCATTACATCACACTACATGTGCACGCGTGTGTGCATGTTTAAGTATTAACATCCCCCCGACAGTTGCCCACCTACTCCGCCTTCACCCTGCCTGCTGCGAGATTCAAGTTGTAACTAAAGCCTGACTGAGAAAGGCTTAAGAGGAAAAGCATTAAAAAAACAGATGGAGAATCAGAAATTAGGTGAGGCCGTAGCTACAAACAGTAGACTTATGTGACAATAAGCCAATTATGTCTTTAACAATGAGTATACAAGCAGCTCAATCTCAAGGAAACAGTGAGCAAAGGGCAGTTACACTGACACATTTAAACCATTCTTCCCCCCCCAAAAAGACCAGTCCTGCTGCTCGTGCAAAAGCCTGAACCCGGGGGCCACCTGTTGTGGATTCCCAGACAGTTTAGCATGGAGAAGCCAGATCTCAACACTCAGTTCTCACTCAGAAAATATTATAGAAAAGGGTGGGAATGAAAAGCACTCTGAGAAGCAGACATAGACCTGTGGCCAGTCAGCAGTGCATAATCATCTATCACACACAAAGGCTGTGCACAACAGGGCTGGATGATTTATTAATTTACCTAAGCAATGATACCATGTAAACATAAGTATGCTGACTCACAAGTGTTCTGATTAATTACAGTATAACTACTTAGTATTAAACAGGGCTATGTATCGGCAAGAATCTGGCGATACAATACATATCACAATACAGGGGTTATAATTCAATATATTGCAAAACTTTAAGCAAGGCGAAAACGGTTATAGCATAAACACACTACCATATACATACAATCTGAGCTTAAAAAAAGCTTATTCAATGTACGCAACCAGAAGGGTGGGATCTGCATTTGTACGTTGTGACTGCTCACAGTGCTGCAGCAGTTCGAACAGCAAAGAGATATGAAGCAGAAATATGCTAGCACTAATCAGCATTCCAAGCTCCTTTCGAATATCTCTGTACTGAGTCATTACTCCACCAGGATTTATACTCTCTGCTGGAGCTTGATCACTATGTGGGGTGCTAAGACAACAGTTTTCATGACTTCAGTTTTTATCAATAAAAGCAGATAGGGCACAAATTCGATATAAATGTTGTTTTTAACCGAATTTGGCCAAAGAATGTTAAACAAAATAGCCCTAAGCCTAAAAAACAAGTGACCACAAGGCAAAGACAAAAATGTCTTTCACGTGCATGAGTGAAAAACTTCAGCACTGGACAGCACAATAATGCAGCTGGAAACACATACTACAACATATACAGTACAAGAAGTGCATTTATCAGGTGGGATTGGGAACAGAATGGCTGGTTATTAACTCTTACATTATTTATTTTAAAATATAAAAAAAAGCTTGAGGGCGTTTAACTGTTACGCAGACTTGTGACGTAGCTCTAGCGCCCCCTAGCTCGCTGTAGCGCCGTGCCTGCCCCTGGCAGAGTTAAAGACAAAGGGGGAAACTCTACAAACTAGCTAGCTTGCTAACTGTCAGTTAGGCAGATTATTACCTAATAGGAGAAAACGTTCAGTGTCGAGGGACATTCTTCCTATAAATTCTTCACTAATTCCTGTCCTCACAGGATAGCATTGTCAGGATGCACATATTTACTTTGGCCTGCAAGTGAAATTCACTGATTGTGTCAATTTCACTGAAATCAATTCATTTATTTTTATTTATTCATTTTAAATGCGTGACTAAGTCCTTGGCTTTTGGGCTGACTTGTTTAAGTTAAACTTCTTATTGGAGGTTAACTTATTTGGAATTCATCCATCTTATAATTGCGATTAGAGTAAATTTAGGTTGATAATTGAATACATTTGGTTTGTTATCGAGCACCAGTGCACACATACACAGCAGTGTGGCAACTGTAAAGCCTAAAAATACATCCACACATGCGACTACACTTTCCCAAATCTGAGTCCAAGTAGCTGTGGAGCCTAGAAATAGCTTCTTCCCTAAAACAGCCCCCTGCACTGTCAAGAGTCCCTTATCTCTGCTACGTAGTGTCCTTGGAGGCTACAGCTGCAGTGCAAAGGACAGCTGGCTGGAAAGCAGGACAGTAAGCCGAAAGGAAAGGAGCCTGCAGTTTGTTGCCTGCCAACTTCCACGAGCTCAGATTCCCAGCTCCACAACCAGAGTAACCTGTCCCCAAGCTCTCAGCCTGAGCTGCAAATCTCAGCTCTGCCCCGAGCTGCAGAGCCCCGAGTCGCTGCTCTTACCTTGGCTGCAAAACTTGACGTGAGTCAGGTAATTCGAGATCCACGGGTTCCGGTACATTTTGGCAACAAAGTCAGGGCAGAAAGAGATGGAAAGAGGGGGCAGCTGCCTGAGAGGTGATGCAGCTACAAAAAGCAGTTTGTCAGTGCTCCGGGACAGACAGAGGGGAGTCAGGTAGCGTTAGAGAGAGGCAGAGGAGGGAGGGTGGGGAGAGAGGAGAGAGGAGAGAGAGACGTCCCAGCCGCAGTGTCGGTACAAGTATAGGTGGTCCTGGTAGGCAAACAGAGGAGTGGTGAAGCTGTGGCTGCAGCTCTGCCCCTTCTGAGATCCACTCCTCTGCTCTGGTTTCCCTCGCTAACCTCTACGGGCTAACCAGTGCCCACTACAACAACCTGCAGGGCTGAAAGCTGCTCAGCACAGGCTAAGCTCATTAGCCAAGGCAAGCAAATTAGGCCCCATCCCTCCTACAGATTGCATGCTACAGTACAGAATGAGCCTGATAGGCACAGATAGGAGAGAAAAAAAGAGTGTGTGTGAGAGACAGAGATAGTTAGGAGTGTCCCAGGAGAGTGCTGCCTTCCCTTGGCTCGCACACACGAGCGGGATGCCAAAGAAACCGGTGCATAGCGTCAGAAACGGAGGGGAGAGAGAGAGAGCACAGGCAGGGTGGATGGGAGTGGAAACAAAGTCAGCAAGGCGAAGAGGAGAAAGTTAAAATGACCCTCTCAGCCAGATGAGAAATTCCAGTCATCTCTCAGCGGGGACAAAATAAAAGGAACAGCAGAGAGAGAGAGAGAGGCAGAGAGCAGAAGGAGCACGGAGAGAGGCAGAGAGAGAACAGAAGAGGAGAGGACAGAGAGAGAAGATGAGAGAGAGAGAGAGGAGGTGGGAGGGACAAAGAGGGTACGAAAGAGAGCAATAGTGAAACAAAGTCAGGAAGGGAAAGAGAGAGTGTGCAAACGGTAATGAGACAGACAGAGAATCTGAGTTCTGCTATGTTCACTTGTGAGTAATGGTGTCATTATGCTTAACACGTTGGTTCCTCCTAGAGCAGCTGAAAAGAGGCGCAAGAGGAAGAAAAATAGGCTGATTTATTGATGGCCCCACAATTCTCCTTTTAAGACACTCATCAGAAGTGTTTGTGCATCCCAAAGCACACATAAAGTGATATTCCCTGAGCCACGGTGTGTATAAACCCATTTCCTAGTATGATTAGGCTCCAAGTGAATGCCAACAACCAGACAAAAGCAATTGCACACACACCTCACCTATGCATCAACGTGACGATGACATGCTTATCATTGTACTCAGAGGGCAATGCAGGGAGTCTGGCGTGAAGCCCAACGCCGCTTTTCAGATGCTGTTGGGAAACAGACGAGCGATATCTTATCTCTCTGCAGCATACAGAGCAAAAGCTGTCAGAGCCAAACACCCAGGCTCCAACATAAAGCAGGTTTAGTGGACGGAAGCGGTCGCAAACGTCAGTTTCTCAGTTCAGTGGCTGCAGAATGGCAAGAATAGCAATTAGAAGGACCCTGAGAATGCCGTTGACTTGCTGTGACTTTCACAATACACAGATCTCAGCGCACTTGTCCTAAACGCCTTGTAAATCTAAGCTAGGTTTTGTTTAAAAAAAAACACCAACGCAGACCAGGTTTATCACATCATAACATTTGTCAAATCACATAAAACCTTCCAGCCTCACCATAAAGGGCTACACAGGTGTGTAAAGAAGCAGCCTGACTGACTGTCTGGGGTGTGTAAACTTCAGAGGTGGCATGTTTGGATCATTCTCCGAGATGAGCTCATCTGGCTCAGCATGTGAACTGCGCAGACACACACACACACACACGCATACATCACAAACCTGCCACTTCACGCAGAGGGTGAGTGGATGGGAAGAGCGCTACCTGCACGCAACACTTTAACTCTGTCATTTGCAGCACCAACATTCAGGGCTAGAACTGTAATTCATCAAACTGATGGCAGACTGACAGCTGGTTAATTTATAGAGCATTAATAAGATCAATCTATAATGATCATGTGGCTGTATCTGGTTAGGGAATGCAAATTGGAGTAGTCTAAATGGAAATAAGTGAGCTAAAGAGGCTAGCATCAAACAAAGACAGCTGTTACTGTTTCATTTGAATTTCAATCATTCATCGTTTACAGTTCAACTCTCATTTCAACTTTCACCTCTTCCAAACATTTCAGGTGCTTTCATGTCTCACACTTGACAGTATAACTGCTTCCAGCTCTCACTATTTAACTCAATTCAACTACTTTCAGTGCTTACATACAAACTGACAAGTCAGCTGCCTACAGGGTTTATATTCCAAACTGAAATTTCACACACTTGACATGTTAGTTTCCAAATTTATCAGCCTGTACATTTTTGCATTTTATTATATACAGTACTAGCAGACTTTTTACAGTGCACATACTTTGTGTATCTCGAACTGATGGTTCAACTGTTTTGGTTGCTATTTTCTTACTTACTTCTTATATAGCTTAAAAAAAACACACAACTACAAGTCTGTAGGGGAAGCTACAGTGGCTTTGAAATGCTAAAGGCCCAATGTAGAGGTATGCTTGGTTTGTCTGTTCAGGGCTACTGTAGAAACATGGCGGTTCAGCATGGCCGCCTCCATCAAAGAGGTCTCTCTGTAGATAAAAACAGCTCATTCTAAGGTAACAAAAACAATGTTTCCTGTGTTCAGGTGAATATACACTAATAAAAAAATAAAAAAAACATGAATATTATATTCCATTTCTGAGAATAGATCCTCCTAAATGTTACACACTAGATCTTTAACCTTAAAACTAAAATCTCAAATGCTTTCACCAACTGCACTTCAACTGGTTTCGACTTTAACACTGCAACTTTTTTCAAAGCTTAAGGAGCCAGTAAACTCAGTCAGAACTGTTAGTTGGACTGCCGAATTACTTTGAAAAACCCCTCTCCTTACAACTTTCCAATGCCAGATTAGGGTTAGTGGTGTCCAAGCTCTTTTTGTACTCTTTACAAAACTATTGTGGGCACTTTTAATGTGAACAAACAAGTGCAACACTATAAATGTTTTCAAGGAGAGACCGTCTGAAAATGTGCACCGTTTTCTCTATATTTTAACGGACACATCGCACTATTTCAGAGGAAAACATGTGCAGACATGTTAAACCGTCAACAGTGTTTGCACCTTAATTTTTCAGCATGGGTAAGCACACTTACATTTTCTTCTTAAAATTCAACCTTTTCTAGTTGTGAGCGGAAAAGCTACACTGGAAAATGCACTCTTTATTACATAGTTTGAAAGAAATGCAATAAAAATCTAAAACCAGAATCAAACCATGGATGTCTTTAACACTAGTCCAGCAGGAATATCCCCAATAAACATTCCTAATACATTTTGTCTTCATCGCTATTCCAATAATCATCTTGCGACCATTTGGACGGAAAATGAAACCCCTAAACTTAAACTGCTCTCCTGATCACTGGACATTCATGTGTCTCTACAGAGTGCCAAGGTGAGAACAGAGCTGTGTGGGAACCTGACGTGTGACATGGATATGAAGGTTTAACAAAGTAGTTTGTAATCTGTAATTCACGCACTTACAAAATTCTTTGTTACTTGAGTTTGTTGAAGTACAGATTTTCCGGTTATCATTTGCCACATACAGTATGTAATCTAATATGTTGTTTTTTATTATCTGCCTCCAAGCAGCTTCCGTTTTGTGGTTTTTCAGTCAATTCCAGCCCATCTTTGAACATCCGATCTATACACAAGCAATATTTCTAAATAACTGTGGTTTAATAATGCCAAAATTCTCAGGGAAGCACCTTTAATGGCATAAAATATGATCACTGATGATGTTAATGAAATGCCAATTACTATCCAAGCTGTGATCATCACCTCTGCACCTACCACCTACCACCTGGCTGTCTAACTTGTATGTAATGTTTGTTTCTTTGACTCATCTGCTACAGGGATGACATCAGTTCTACAAAACCACCCGACGGTTTCTACCCTGTTATTATCAGTGATGAGTCTTTACTGCCAAGGATGGGCAAGACCTTACAGGTCGCTGCAATGATGCAATGCTGCTCTTGTTCTCTAATCTTTTTGTTGGATTGTAAGATTTCTTCAGACAGTAATACATGTACAGAAGCAAAAAATGCACAGAGGGAAAGAAATGGTATTTATTTGGTGTTCAGTCCTGTGCTCACATATTGAGTGGTAATTAGTAAGTCGACTTTGGTTACATCGGTTTGGCTGTGAAGAAGAGTTTCTCTATACTATAATCCAATAGATCTTAGTAGACAGAGACAAACCTTCTGTAAGCGGACCATCTCCTTTGTTTTGAAACACTGTGGGAACTGATTTAGGTCTGCTTCTGTAAATGCTTACACATTGACCATAAACCAGCCTAAAATGGTTAGAGGAATGACAGCACAAAGACCAGAAACTGGATCAAAGGTCAATGAGAATGAAAATTGAAGCCATCTTTGCCGCCACACTGCAAAACTTGAAAGTGGTGAAACAGATATGTCCCAGGAAACCTACATCCATTTAAGAGGAACATTCCAGGAAACTGTACTGAGATCCATATAGGTTTTGAAAACCATTACCAGTGTCAGTATTTTTGGATTAAAGCTGACAAGTGACAATAATTTGTGCTGATGTTCAAAGGCTTTAAGTAGTGACATTTTCATGCCAAAACATACAAGTATTTAGGGTTAGCCCCAAGCTTTTGTTTTTGTCAGCCTCTGAAATACCATTTAGTGACACATAACCGTGACACTAAAACTCAACACTGAAACCAAGGATAACAGCAAGTCCATGCATTCTTATGTGGGATTCAAACAAATTGATGATTTACAAACACAACACACTTGAGGACTTTGCAGACAAGACAGCCACATCTAGAAGAGGTGATGTTTTCTGAAGAAAAGTGTCCATGCTTATGCAGAAAACTGCAGGTCTTAAAACTGAGAGGTCTTACAATCTTAATAGTTTGCATGTAAGATGTGTAAGATTTACAGTTTAAGTTAAAATCTGTGTCGTTTATAGTGTTGGAGATGAAACTAGTAGAAATCAGTTATACTGTATTTGCTGAAAGCATGTGAACATTTATTTGAAGTTGAAGCCATGTAGGTAATTAAGTTGGCAGTTTGTATTGGGGCTGTCACTTTTATTTGAGATTCAAAAATGTATTCAAACATGGTAAATTTTTTTTGTTCATGCTCTATAAGGGTAACAGACCTTCTGAAGTGGTCTGCCTTGTGATCCAGCAGAGGGCGCTCCCAAATCATCTTCACCTATTGCATGCCCGCTTAACCTAACCTATCAGTAAACTAAACCAGTGATGTTATCTTGTTTACTGCAAAAATGGAGGACACTAGCAAGCAAAGCCATAATGAGCGCAATACGTTTCTGTCGA